GGGCGGGCTGGGCGGGGCCGCGGGCGCAGGAGTGCGGGCGGCGGGTGGCGCTTGGAGAAGAGTGGAACGGTATTTTCTCTTTCTGCGCTGCCGCGCCCTGCTGCCACCCCTGCAGTCTCAAGGGTGGTGGTCGATGGGGTGCGGGTTCACCTACAGCATTCCACGGTGAAGAAGGCTGGGCCACCCACTTGCCAGGACGCGAAGATGCTACGTCTGGGAAAAGGAGGCGATGGAGGCTTTTTGTTTCTCGAACCTTTGCCGCTCAGCATCCCTGGGTACTGAGGCCCACCCTCCAAAATGTGCGAGTGCAGAGTAACAGTCGCGCTAGGGTCTTGGAATTCTCCATCTTGATTTGTTAACCAAGATTTATCCACTTGTTTGGCCTCTGGCCCAAGTGAAACAGCCGTTTGAACTTGATGCTGGTTTTTGTGTCACCATGAGACTGAAACAGACAATCCTAGCAGGGGTTTTCCGGTGAGGAACATCCCTGGCAAAGGCAAATGTGCACTGTTTTGATTTAAAAAACCAAAAAACAAAAAACCCAAAGTTTTCTTCAAGAGCAGAACTGATAGCGGTGTAGGGTCTGCCGAGATGTCCCTGGTGCCCTCCCGGCAGGAGCTGACCGCAGGGCTGCTCAGTTGCACAGCTGATCACCCCAGCAGCCTGCACCTGGCTTATCCAGGCTTGGGAGTAGTCCCCAGCCTCCGGTGGGTGCTCCCTGGGGATCTGCTGTCTTTAGTCCAAGGTGACTAAACTATCAGTAGCACCCATATCTGCCAATCCTACTCTAGAGTTAGATGACCACAAATGGTCACAAAGTGGAGGAATCACAAAGTCTTGCACTAGAATAATATTCTGGTTTATTAAGTACAGTTTGTCTAGTTTTCTGCCCTTTGTAAGCCCTCCCCTAGCTGCTGAGGGACACATGCTGTATCCCAATGTCGTATCCAAACGTCTGAATGTTTGTCTCTCCAAAATGTAAGTGCTGAGATCCTCATCTCCAAGGTGATGGCATTAGGAGGTGGGCCCTTCGGAAGGTGATTAGGTCGACAGGGCGGAGCCCTATTGAATAGGATTAATGTCCTTGTAGAAGAGAGGAGACAGGGAGAGTCCAGAGCCCCGACCCTCGCCTGCAAGCCCTGTAAGCGAGTCACAAAGAGGGCCCTGAGCAGACACTGACTCTGAATCTGCAGTCACCTTGGTCTTCGAGTGTCCAGCCTGCAGCACTGTGAGAAACAAACCTGTGTTGCTTGTGGGTCACTCAGTTTAGGCTCTTTTGTTACAGACGCCTGGGCAGGCTGGGCTGGCCTACTGCTGCCTCACTTCCTACCCTGACTCCAGTTCCACTTTGCTTTGTATCCTTGAAACTGCTGGAAAACAGAATAGCCCAGCGGGAAAGACTGCAGCCTGCTCCTGGACAACGGAAACTTACTCCTTACCCAGCTCCAGTGGGCTGAGGAGGAGGAAGCAAGGAATGAACCAGTCATCCAGGAAGGCTTTATTTTTCCCACTTGGTTACTTTTCCAGAGCTTGTCCCTCTGAGCTCTGCAACAGTGACAGTTGTGTGGTGGTGGTGTGGGGAGGAGTGCCTGTCGCATCACCTCCCTCCTGACTGGGCTGGGTGTGATTAGGCAGGGTCAGGCACTTGAGCGCCTCCTCCTAGCTCAGGAGCATGGACAGTAGTGCTTGTCAGAGGCTCAGGCGGGCCGAGGTGCAAGGGAGCCCATCCCAAGGCTGAAGGATGGAAGCTCCTCAGTAAGGCCAAGCAGAAGCATGTAGAGAATTAACCTCAGCGGCAGCACTGAGTACCCCTCAGAAGAGATGTCAGGAAGGAGGAGCCTGGCCACTCTGCAGGACCTGGCTTCCTCAGGGTGCCGAGCCCAGGCAAGGCAGAGGCCTGGCTGAGGCCAGCGGGACTGGTGCTTTACTTGCAGCCCCAGAGGCATCCCGTCTGGCACAGAAGAGGGCTGAAGGCACGGGTGGCTTCCCGTGGGGTGTAGTTCAGCCCTGAGATAGATGTGAGGTCCCCTGGGAATTGGGTTGATGCCAAGATGGATGAGGGCAGTTGTATGGTGGGGGTGGGTTTTCTCAAAGCAGATCAAACTCTTGGTGTCCTCTTCTCTCCTCTATCCTTGGCACTGCTTGGGGATTGGGGGTATCTTCTCAAGTCATGGAAGCAAAGTGGAGCACAAGAGATTAGCTGGGGTAAGTGGTAGGTGATTAGGGAAGCAGGTGCAACTCTCCCGACCTCTGAATGATTCCCACATGTTCCCTCTTCTAGAGATTTCTACTGCCAGGCCTGGTCACCCCGGTAATCTCCTCCTGGGACACAGCTGTGGAAGCAAGGCCAGTCTGGGTCCTGGTTCTCTTTGGGGGGTTCATCTGGCAATCACAGATGTATGGGGAAGAGTTGCTAAGATGATAAGAATCTGGCCAACCAGACCTTTCCCAGCTCTTACATCTGGCCTATGTTTGGGAAGGGCCTTGGGGAGGATGAGCTTGGGATCACGCTCTTGCCAGCCAAGGGGGAGAGGACAGAACTGCGGTGACTTCTAGGAGCTTTTCTGACTGCTTCCCTTGTGGCAGCAAAGCACTTGTGTCCATGTCATAGATGAGGAAGCTGGAGCTCACAACGAGAAGGTGAGTGTACCTGGGCTTCCTTCTCGGCCCATCCCTAGTGCCAGCTGCTGTCTTTAAGCTCAGGCAGGCGAAGCTCCCCATGCTGTCCATCTGGGGCCACTAGAGGAGGCAGAGGAGTGGGCAGTGGGGAAGATCGGGGAGCCTGGCTCCTACCCCTTGCTGACCCAGCTTCCTGGGCCCATAAGTGCTGTCCAGTGAAGCTCCCCTTCCCCAAGTCCACATGGGCTGGTGTCCCCGGTCACACGGCCCACTTCCCCAGACTCACTTCCTCAGGCCTGCAGGGAGGCTGGCATCCAGGCTCTCAGAGGGCTTAGTGGTCGGGGCGGGGCTCCTGGGGCAGCTGGGCTGCGTACAGGGCCAAAGTGTGGTGCAGGAACTGGTACTGCTCTGCGGTCTGGATCATCCCCCCTCTGCAAGGAAAAACAAGCCATGGGCAAAGGAGGTCAGGTGCTTGCTGAACAGCTCAGGTCAAGCATCCCTGTGGGCCTTTGGGGAAAGTCTTGACTTTCTCCTTCCCGTGCATCTGTCCTTGCTACTTCCTGCTCAGTCTCACTGTCCCGCAGTCTTCCCAACGTGGGAAACCCCCTGCCCTAACCTAGGCTCTGGTGCTTGGTCTTCCCTGATCCTCTCAGTTCCTGATCAAAACCAGTTCCAGTTCCTTTGGTTTGCTTCCAATTTTCCTCTTTTCTATAATCCTAAAAGTAAAAATAATTCCATACATTTGTACATAGTTCTAATTCCCGTTTTCCCGTTAACTTTCATATAAGTTAACCTGTTCCTTCCAGCAGCTCTCTGAAGGAAGGAGGAGCCAGTCTCTCCCTAGATTAAAAGGGGGGTATGGACACCATGGCACATGCCTGTAATCCCACCTACTTGGGAGGCTGAGGCAGGAGGATTGAAAGTTAGAGATCAGCCCAGGCAATTTAGCAAGACCTTCTCTCCAAATTAAAAATAACAAACACAACAAACAAGGGCTGGAAATGTAGCTCAGTTCAATCCCCAGTACTGTGAAAAAGAAAGAAGTGGGGACTATCGAGGCAGTGACAGTTCAGTGAAGGACATGTCACAATTTGAACCCAGTGCAGTGAGCATCTGTATATGTTCTGTGCCTGCTGAATAGCTAGAACCAGCCACATTGTTTCCTAGATTTCTCCTGAGTAGTAACTTTAGGGGAAAAAAAAAGAAAGAAGAGGGAAAAAAGAAAAAACATTGAAAATTCAGGATAAATTCATAGAGTGGAATATTTAGTTCTAGGCCTCCAATCTAAAATTCCAGTTAGAAATTCTTTCTAGATATTAATTGCAAAATAATCCAGGTGAGGTGCACAGCCTATAAACCCAGAACTCTGGGAAGCTGAGGTAAGAGGATTGCAAGCTTGAGCCCAGCCAGGCATCTTAGCAAGACCCTGTCTCAAACTAAAAATAAAAAAGGGTTGAGAGCGTAGTTCACTGTGAAGGTCCTGGGTTTAGTCCCTAGTACACAGACACGCAGAGACACACACAGAGACGAGAAAGTGGAAGAAACAGCTCTCTAAGGAGGAGGGCTTCTTTTCTCGAGGGCGCTGATGTGCCTTGCAGCCCAGAGGTGCCAAAGCCACTCATGAACGTAGGTGGCCCTGTCAACTGCGGACCCACCTGTCTAGCCGCAGTTGGCACACGATACCCAGGATGTCCACTTCCCTTCGGGCCTTCAACTGCTGGCAGCCAATGCGGGTGGCGATGAAGCATCCGGTCCGGCCAATCCCTGCACTGGGAACAGCCAGAGAGAAGATGGCTAGGCCTCGGGGACCAGGGAACAGGGAGGCAGGCGAGCAAGGACTGGGAGAATGGGCGTCAAACTATGGAGAAAGAGATGAGGCCTAAGGTGCTGTGTCTGGGCGGGATTCTGGGGATGGAACCAGACCAGATTCCCCAGCAGCCCTGGGCCTGCTGGGGCGACGGCAGGCGGCCCTGGGGGAGGCGGTGCTTCTAACCAGGCTTGCTCCAGGCCTAGTCCAGGTCACCTTCCGGTTCCTGTGGACACCCGACAAGCTCTCTTCTGCTTAACAGTCTCCAACAGTTTCCAGTGACACTGCCCCGCTTGTGGGCTGGCTGACCGCTGCAACCCTTCTTATCTAACTGTGACTTCCTCCTAGCTCTGGCTCCACAGCTGCAGCGGGCCCCTCTGCTTCCCACCTCCATCTCTTCTCTCTGCTCCTTTCTGTCTTGCCTTTTCTTTATTTCAAAGCCCTCTCTGACCTCCTCCTCTTTAGCAAGTCGGCCTTCCAGAGCCTCTGATAGGAGCCACTGATGACTCCAAGTGTCCTTCCCTCTGTGCTTGGCGAATCCGTGTTCTGTTGTATTTGGGAAGTCCGCTCCCACGTGTTTCTTTGTTTCAGATCTTGTCTCCACCCCACCCCACCCCAATCTACCCTAATCCGCTTTAACTTGGTAACCAACGCATCCTTCCTCCCCCAGCTCATGGTGCTGGGGATCAAACTCAGAGCCTGTGAACATGGGCAAGGGCTCTGCCACTGAGCCACACCCCCAGCTCCAAAGCATTCTTTTAAAATGGCAAATTCATGCCAGGTGTGGTGGCACAGGCCTGTAATCCCAGCACTTAGGAGGCTGAAGCAAGAGGATCACTGGGAATTCCAGGCCAGCTTGGCCTACAGGGTGAGACCCTGTTTAAAAAAAAAAAAACAAACCAAACCAAACCAAAAAATGGCAAATCCAGGGCCCTCGATTCTATTCCTAGCACTGAAGAAAGCATAAACTAAAAAAAAATAAAGCAGGATGTAATGGTACATGCCTGTAATCCCAGCTACCCAGGAGGCAGAGGCAGGAGGATCATAAATTCAAGGTCACCTAGGGCAATTTAGCAACACCCTGTCTCAAAAATTTAAAAAGTAAATAATAATATAAAAGGGCTGAGGATGTACCTCACAGTTTCTGGGTTCAATTCCCAGTACCACCAAACAAAAAAAAAGTTGGGCATGGTAGCACATGCCTATAATCCCAGTTGCTTGGGAGGCTGAGACAAGAGGACTGCAAATTTGAGGCCAGCCTGGACAACATAGCAAGATCCTGTCTCCAAATAAAATATTTTTTAAAAGACTGGGAATGTAGCTCAGTGAGAAAGCCCTGGGTTCAATCTCCAGTACCACAGAGAAAGAGAGAGGGAGGGAGGGAGAGAGAGAGAGGACAAGCAAGCAAGCAGGCAGGCAAATTTAAGTGTTTTAACTGTCCCTAAAAATCTCTCTTCACGTGGACCTCACTTGCCCTCTGGAGTCAAATTGTTCCCACATGATGCCCGGTCCACTGCCGGCTCTGCTCCCAGAAATGTATCCATGTTTCAATTCCTTCTCTGGGCCTTTGCATATGCTGTTCCATCAGCCTGGAATGCTTCCCTTGCCCCTCTTCGCTTAGCTAATTCTGCTTCAAGTCTTCGGGTACCTTGATGTCACTTCTCTTGGAATCCCTTCTCTGGCTGAGGTCTGAATCAGGCAACTTGGTTCTGTGTGCCCCACCTACCCCATCCTAGCTATCATTACATTTGTGTCCTGTGTTTAATCTGCTGTGGTTCCCAACAGGCTGTAAATCTGTCAGGGATGAAAGCGAATGATTTTGTTCACTGCTGTCTTTAGCATCTAACACTCATACCTGACAATAATAGATTTTCAATAAATATTTGTGGAACAAATAGATGAGATCCCCACCAGCAGGGGTCAGGTTTATCTCCTCCCCCAGCTAATCAGGAGCGTCCTGCTCTTCCATCTCCTCCCTGGATGGTGCCTGGGTGTCCAGCCAGATGCTGGGTTCTGCACAGAGGAGCTCACAAGGGCAGAGCGTGTGCTGAACGATCAGAATGATGCCGATCTGCTGAGATCCCTTCCGGGAGAGACTCAGTAGTAGGGGAGAGGGGGAGGAGCCCACACCTGCAGTGGACCACAATAGGCCCAGTGTTGGTGGCTGTCTCTGGGCTCTCATCCACCTCGGCCACCAGGCGCAGCAGGGGCCCAGCCGATTCTGGAGTCTGGTGGTCAGGCCAGGCCGAGAAGAGGATGTGCTTTACTGAGCGACATTCTTCCTGGTGCTGCAGTGGAGACACAATGTGAGACGCAGGGTCAGGGTTGGGCACCGCCCACCTCATCTGGTGCCAGGGGAGGATGAAGGCTGGGATCACCCCATGGGCGTTCGCAGCCGGCAAAGCTCACCCGCCACCACTCCCCACCCTAAAATGCCAGCAGGAGCATTGTTTTGGGAGACAGAAAGGCCTGAGTTCAAATCTTGTCTCTGTCTCTAGCTTTGGACAAGTCTTTTAGCCTCATTTTCTTCACCTAGAAAATGGGGATGCTGATATGATATTGTTTTACTTCCCAGGATGCTTGGAAAATAATGGATAGAGAAATGCTTTGAAAAAATGTAAAACACTACGCAATAGTAGAAAGCACTTTTAGCTTTTTTTTTTTTTTTTTTCTGAGACAGGGTTTTGCTATGTAGTTCAGCCTGGCCTTGGACTGTGTAGCCCAGGCTGGCTTCAAACTCAAGGCAATCCTCCTGGGTCAGCATCCCAAGTGCTGGAGAGTAGCAAGCATTTTTAGAGCACCTTCATGTGTGTTATTATACCTGATCTCTCATTTTTTTTGCACACTCCTCTATTGCTCCTCAGCATTCAGCATAGTTGGAAGTGCCTTTTGATGGTTGCTGTTTGGTTTTCTAGCTCTGCCCTATCTAACTAGAAGTTCCCTGAGGGAAGTATCCGCAGTTCTCTCTCTTCTGTGGCTCAAGTGCCTCTTTCAGGGTCTAAGACTTAAATAAGTAAACCTGGCTTCTACAGAAGGTCAGGCCTAATTTCCAGAGATGGGGAAGGTGGCTTAGCCTCCAGCAGACTGGGCCTGGCCCAGGTAGTAGTACCTGGATGGTGAGGTGCCGCACAGTGTATTCTGGACGCTCTTTCATGTCCTGGATGCGGATCTGGAAGGGCCCGTAAGTTTCCTCTTCTGTGGGCCAGTAGTGGACACACTTCTAGGAGGGAAGGAGCTGGGAGTCAGAAGGCGGAGGCCCATCATGTCAGAGGAGCAGCAGAGAGGGGCTGGCTTCCTCTTCACATATCCTAACCCCCATGACAGGGTCAGCAACTGAGGCCTGGCTTTTCTGAACTTGATTCCTAAAGCCCAAGTGCTCAGCCCATCCCAGATTTTGGTTGTGGACTGCCTCCCTGGGCTGTCTCAGAGATCTCTCTGAGAGGCATTCACAGCTCCCAGGGAGTCTGTTCCAAACTGTGGTGTGTGCGTGCGTGCATGTGTGTGTATGTGTGTGACGGTGTAGGGCTCAGCTCTGTCAGTGTTCACCAAGGACCATGGCTCTGTCTCCTACCTCCTTGCCCTCACGGAGCTGTGTAAGCATGACGATGAGGCACACATCTTCCTGCCACACCATCTCCCAAAAGTCCAACATGGTGTTGGGCATGGGGCCCTGGGTTGCAATGTAGACCTTCTCCTGCCCATCATAGCCCTGGGGACAGAAGCACACGGGAAGGTGGGGAAGCAGTAAGATTAGAGCTCCAGGGAGATCCCAGGCCTCGGATGAGTGATCAGGGATCACGCCGAAGTCAGGGAGTATGTGCAGGTAGATGCACACACACATGCACAGACACACCCAGCCCGGAGGCACATGGTGGAGAGGACAGGGGCCCTGGAGTGAGGAACATCTGAATTCAAATGCTCGTTCTGCTGTCTCCTAGCCTCTGTGAGTCTGTTTTCTCATCTGTAAGTTGGGGGTAATGATATCTATTTTGCAGGAATTAAGTAAAATAAAATACATTGAGAGACTAGTATACAGAGTGTGATCCAAAGATATAGTGTGTATGTTAGTTACGTTTCTCTCATTACTGAGACAAAATACCTGACACCTAAAGTTAAAGGGGGAAGGTTTATTCAGCTCACAGTCTGTGGAAATTTCAGTCCATAATCGGCTTGGCTCCACAGGCATTGCAGAGGAGAAACAGTTCGTGGCAGGCAGAAGGTAGCAAGCAAGGAAGCAAAGAGGGAAGACAAGCCTTTTTCTGTCCCTCATATTGTATCCAGGCTACAGGGATTAGGATGGTGCTAAAACAATCTGTGGGCTGATGTGGTAATCACCCCCCCTTAATCCTAGCATTGCACCATGAATCAATCACATACTCTAGATTCAGCCACCTCTGAAATAGCCCCACCCTATGACTATATGAGACTTTGGAGGGACACTTAGACATAAGCCATACAGTGTGTATTTAAATAAAAAAATTATTACATTAATCCTTTGCAAAATATCCCCCTCCCTCACTTTGAACACATTTATCCCGTCATTCTTGCCGCTTTCTGAAACAGTTCTGGGAGTCCTCTTTCATGAGTGTCTTTAGTTGCACTGTCCTGGCTGCCTCAATGTCCTGAATCAATTCAAAACATTTGCTTTTCATGGTTATTTTGACCTGGGGGAGTGCAGAAGTGGCACAGTGCCAGACCTGGTGAATAAGGTGAATGAGTATACACAGTAGTAATGTTTGCAGGAGCCTGCCTTCCTGCTGGATGACACCATATTTTTGATCAAACCTAGTAAACGCTCTTTGAAGAGGACTCCCAGAAATGCTTTACAGACTGGCAAGAGCAATGGGATTAGTTTGCTTGAAGCAAGGGTATTTTAAGGGGCAATTTGTCTTTTAATGTAAGAAATCTTTTTTAAAAAGGTAAACATTCACTCTTTTTCTTTTTAAAAATTAGTATATGTTTTTGATACATAATGAATACATTTATACTGGGGAGCCAGTATGCATATCACCCTCCTTTTTGGGTAAGACAGGGTCTCACTTCATAGCCCAGATTGGCCTTGCATGCCTGACGATCTTCCTGCCTCAGCCTCCCAAGTGCTAGAATTACAGGTACGTGCCACCATGGCTGGCCATATCAAATTTTTAATCCTTTTTACTTTCCCATTCTTCTCCTCTCCCTCTGTTCAGTCTCTAGCTCTGGATTCCCTTCCTATCTGCAAAAGGACTACCTCCCTGTTT